TTTTCCATTATTGGCGATAGAGCAGCGACTTGCTTGCCACATCCTGCATGTAACAGAGAGGATAAAGGATAAACATAATTCATCACCCAAAAGGACACGGAGACGCTTTTGAACCCTATCGAGATTTAAAAGTGAGTTACTATGCAGCTCCTTCCCAAATATGACGACAGTACTCCATTTTAGCTCGGATATGGCCCATTTTGTCGGTACCTGAACTTTCATACTCTGAGGGATCAGGTTCCGTCAGAAGCGAAGCAGAGAACCGACTATTTGACCTTCATCTTTTAGCGATGCATCGTATGTACGAATCCACTTGAGATCAGGTGTCAGTTTCAGGCCTAAACGTCTCTCAAGGCATGGTGCCTCCCCAAGGTGACATTGGTTTATCATGTAGTGGTAGTCCGGGGTCCAATCGATGATTATGGAATGTAACTAGTTTGGTTTTAGGGGCATTAAATTTAACCAACTAGTTTTTTCCCCAACTGAGAAGCTAGTGGTAGTTTTGCACACAAGATCGACTAATGCATGAGTCTATACGATATAGCGAAACAGTTCTACTGAAGAAATTACTTTTTAGACGCCAGAAATAAAATCAACTATATTAATCGGTCCTAATTTCCATCAATCAATACCATCATCTTCGCCAGCCATTGCTAATTTGATTAACGTTGAACTCATAAAATAATGGCTGAATCGTGCCTTTGTCGTACTTAGCCGATTCATCATCGCAAACCCCAAAATAAATTAAACTGTCTTTCATCTCTTATTTCACGGCTGGTTTGAATTAAAGCAATCCCGACAGAGAATCAAATTAAAAGACTTAGTGCTCTTTGTTAGGATCAGCTTTTATTTTATATTATTTGATTCTACCTTCCGTAAACTAGTCGTACACGACGAAGATCTATCTAGAAATAATAGCAATTAAAGGGAAATGGCGTCTGAAACTCTGACACATTTAGACAACATTTCTTAAATCCGTGTAAACATAACTAACATTCTCTACAGGATAATTTTATACGAAACATAGAGTCTTTATTGTTGCATAAAGTTTTAAGATGTATTTCTTTGTAAACTGTTTCGCCCCAAACAAGGCAGTAAAGCCACTACGACACAAGGGATTACTGGGTAAGGACGAATTAGGAACAGAAACATTAATAATGGGCAGGAAGAGAAAAAAAGCAATCTGAAGGACTGTAGATAGCGATTGACATTGCATTTAAATTTTTGCAGATTAAAGTTGGCTGGAAAGTATGAAACCGGAAGGAAGTTCTACAAGCGAGAAAAGAAACTGTTAACATAGAATTTACGGCTACATCTAGCCAGGTCAACTGTAAATTGATGAAATCTCGACACCAGTCTATTACTGCGTTTAAATACAAAAACTCTCGGTACCAAAGCGAAAAGTTTATTCAAAGAAATTAACATGAAAGTATTTATAGAAAAAAAAAAAAAAAAAAAACATGGAGGCAACTTTACGGCGCTGGGAAAGTGACTGAAGCCGAGTCGTCAGATCAGGACCGATAATATTGCTGATTCTTCTTTGGATCTTATCAAGGATTTGAAGGTAAATAGCAGGGGCGTTATCGATAAATTTATTCAGATCAGTTTAGCTCACATATTAACTAAAAATGCGTTTAAACCCTGCTACGAGTTGACCGTTAAAACTTTCCTAGAGGAAGTCATTTCATCATATTTTGCATACGAAGTTGATTGATTGATTTGTTTGTTTTATAAGATATTTCTGAGTCATTTAATGTCGAAATTCAATTTTCTTGGGAGCTTTGAAGTAATTAACTATCATATGTTATTCTGCTTTCGCATTTGAGTATATGGTAGATGATATTCAGCTTTTGTGCATATACATATTTGTGTGGACAATATTACTAGAAGTTGAGATATATTTTAGAATATGCTTTGATTTCCTTAATAGATTTTCGGATATTATATGGATTAATGTAATGCAAGAGTTTTTTTTCATGTAGGCTGTTTTGTTGGTTTGTTGATTTTGTTTAACAGTTTATCTGCCTGTATTGGTTATTTAATACCGAAATCTAAACACCTTGAATGCATTTGTATGCCTTCAACTACAGTACTACTATTGCTGGTAATTTTACAATAAATTTGTCTCATTGGTCTTTGTTTATATAAAAAATGTATTGCTGATATTTTCACTCAAAAATGTATTTTTATATTTCTATAGTGTTTTGTTTCTTATTGGGAATTCCCTATTTGCCCATAGCTGGGACCCTAACAGGTGTTGCAACACCGAACTGGGAAGAGCAGCAATTAAATATGTGATTCCACGCTCTTCAAAACATCCAATCTTCCGATCAGAGGCATTGCTGCCGGATGTAGTTTATCATCATACCCAGGACTGAAATTTGAATTTAAAAATATACCTTGCGATAAAGCATTAGGCTGAATCATTTTAGAAAAAATCTGGAACGACTCTATGCCAGACCATATGAATGGAGTATCATTAGTTGCGCTAATACTGATAAAAAAACATAACAAGATTTTAAATATCTGTCAATATTTCTGAGATGAGGTATTATGTATTTACATTATTCGGACTATTGCCCTCATCATTGTCGCCATATTTATTACAACGTTTCGGCCGAATACAATATGGGTACCAGTAATAAAGAGTGCCAGAGAAAAGCGATAATAACAACAACAAAACAAAAAAATATGAGCTCTGGTAAAAACATGTAATGATAACAGCAAAAAATGCGATATGAGCACTGGTAAAAATGGTTGCTGAAACATTAGGTTTATAATACATACACATACATATAATTCATGCAAAAATGTCCTCAAGGACACATGGCACAGTGGATAAAGGCGTTGGTTAGATCCAGTGACAGGACACGAAGAGTGTGAGTTCAATACTTAGTTAAGGCAGTGGAGAACTTCGAGAGGGGAATTATAAGGTGGTAACTGACATCCATTAAGCATGGAAACATGAGCGAAATAAAGGGTTCTGTTCGACATTCTAGCCACCTGAAGGAACAACAGCTGAAACGTTGCAATAGATATGGCGACAAAGATGAGGACAATAGTCCAAATAATGTAAGTTTATTAAATAATTCAAATCAAATTATAAAGAAATCTCTTAACAATTTAGATAAGGAACATTTCAGATAATATTTTATAAATTCATGCAAACGTAATTCACATATTCTACAGGACAATTTTATATAGAGTATTTATTAATGCATAAATTCCCAGATAGAATATTGTTATCGATAGATTTATAACGATCAGTATAGGTCATATATGCGAGGCATGTCTGTAGGGATAAAGCAGTTTCAGTGATTGTAACATTGGAACTACGGATGTACGTTGTGTAATAACGAATAACGATTCGGAATGAGAAATCTAAGAGCCCAGTTCGAATTCAAGTTGGCTTTGTTATATTCACTTACGTGCAAATATCCATGGGAAATTTATGAACCCATCTTTTCTATCCCTAGCTATAGGTTGAATAGCAGGTCAGACAGGCTCCTGTATCATTGGTTGGCAACCAGTCTAAGACAGAAAAAAAACGGCTACATACTAGAAGAAAACCATCTGCCTCGTCAGTCACGAATAGAAAAAAACATGGTCGCCCTAACGTGTACCACGTATGGTGCTTAATTGACTATTGGAACTACCACTGTTGCATTAATCTAGTTACCACCTTTGTATTGTTCACATATATGTACAACGCGTAGGTATTCAAATAAGAAAATTGCAGAATTTTTACATATGTGCAGACCGGTGAATTAGTTGTCAATTCGTAAGTTTCCTTTGATTCGAGCATGCTTTCCAAGATAGTTTGCATGGATGTAAGCATATATGACATACTGAGGAGGTCAGCTTGACAGGATTTATTGGATGAAATTGAGTAATGTCTTCCCCATGGATTTCATGTATCTTTTCCCACCAGGATTGGACTTTTTTTTACCACACATCCCACTTACATTTTCAGTTGTTCTTTGAGGAAACATATCAAAATTAAGTGTAACGGCATTGTTATGAGATTTAAGGTGGTTCAAATAATCTGTTATCGATTTCAGAAAACAATAGCAAATATATTCACACAAACGAAATTCAGGTGGAATCAACACTTTCTAAACACTTTCCATGCTCAATGAGACTAGACGACATCTTTTATTGAGTTCCTTCATTCAATTTCACACAAACATACGTATCTGTGGTATCAGGTCTTTGTTTCAATATATATTCATTGCCTGACGATCCGCGTAGGTGAAACCTTGGTAGGTTTATCTGGCTCTTTAGGGCTTAATATATATATATATATATATATATATATATATATATATATATATATATATATATATATTATATTGTTAAATTCCCAGATCAATTCTGTGGACAAGACAGATTGGTATACAAAAATATTTCGATTTCATTTTTGCCTTGAAAAAGTCGGAAGACGAAACGCGTAGGCAAAATCTAAGATTTTTTTACTAATTGTCATTTTATACCATACACACACACACACACACACACACACACATATATATATATATATATATATATATATATATATATATATTAAGGCATTTTTTGTTTATACGTTCTTTGTCCATTTCATAATATATATATATATGTGTGTGTGTGTGTGTGTGTGTGTGTGTGTGTGTGTGAAATCGTATATATTATGTAGTAACAGCATAGAACATTTAACTGGCCTTGGTCATATGCTTGGACACGCCAGTACAATTCATTCTGAAAACTATATTCCTTCTTCCTCTCACAAACAGCAACACAGTATTTAATAAATATTCTGGTAATCGACATTATAAATAATTCGTAAATAAATAGTTCATAAAATAAATACAAATATAATTTCTTTGGGGTTAAGTAGGAAAGAGAGAGAGAGAGAGAGAGAGAGAGAGAGAGAGAGGGTGATTTAGTTGATGGAGTGAAGGCAAAAACAGAGAATAGTGACCACAGAGGAAGGAGCGAAATCAGGTGAGTGGGTAGATTGGCTAGAGGCAGGGACAGAGAATCAGTAACCAGAGAGAATGAGAAAGAGAGAGAGAGATAGAAAATGTGAGTGGGTTGATGGACTGGAGGCAGGAGCAGAGAAGCAGTGACCAGAGAGAAAGAGAGAGAGAGAGAGAGAGAGAAATCAGGTGAAAGGGTGGATGAAGTGGATTAGGATCAGAGAAGCAGTGACCATAAAAAAGAGGGAGAAGGAGGGGGAAATCAGATGAATGGGTTGATGGAATGGAAGCAGGAACAGACAAGCAGTGACCATAGTAAAGACAGAGAGAGAGAGAGTGGGGAATCAGGTGAGTGTGTGGATGGAATGGAGGCAAGAAAAGAGAAGCAGTGACCGTAGAAAAGAGAGAAAGAGAAAAAATTAGGTGAGTGGATGGATAGGCTGGAGGAAGGAACGGAGAAGAGGTGACGAGGGTGAGACAGAGAGAAAGAGAGAGATCAGGTGAGTTGGTGGATGGAATGGAGGGAGAAACAAAGAAGCAGTCACTAAAGAGAGAGTGGGTGAGAAATCAGGTGAATCGGATGATGCACCGGAGGCAGGAACAGAGAATAAGTGACGAGAGAGAGAGAGTAGAGAGAGAGAGAGAGAGAGAGAGAGAGAGAGAGAGAGAGAGAGAGAGAGATCTGATGAGTGGGTGGATTGACTGGAGGCAGGAACAGAGTATTAGTAGCAAGAGAGAGGCAGAGAGAGAGAGGTGGGGAGAGACAGAGAATATTAGGTGAGTGGCTAAATGGACTGGAAGCAGGGACAGAGAAGCAGGGACAGAGAAGCAGTGACCAGTGAGTGAGTAAGTGTGTGAGAGAGAGAGAGAAAGAGAGAGAGAAAGAGAGAGAGAAGAGATCAAGAGAGGAGAGAGAGAGGAACAGAGAAATATTGGCCAGAGAGAGGAATTTAGAAATATTGGACCAGAGAGAGTGAGTAGTCTAGCAATGACCATGGATGGACAGTCAAGAGAATGACCATATGAAGAGAGAGAGAGAGAGAGAGAGAGAGAGAGAGAGAGACAGAGAGAGAGAGACTGACAGAAAGAAACATTTATGAAGAGAATTTAGTATATATATTCTCATTGGCTGATTCTTGAATGGGCATTATTCTATATCATAGGGAATGACCGCAGTAATTTGGTTTCAGACCTGGGTGTTTTATGAGAGGACTGTATCTCTGCAAGATGGCCACTAGGATTAAATAGTCAGGATTTTTTAAAAATGTAGTTACAAAAAAAAAATAAACGTATTTGCACCCCTCAGATAAGTTTTAGTTCATTATTTATTCATTTCATTTTTTTTGTGTTCATAAAAGAACACAATGTTCTTTTCTTTGTATAAATATACTGATTTTTTTATTTTTTTATTTCTTTCTTTTTGGCTTCTGGCTTCTAAGCCAAGAGTTCATCCATGGCCACCAAATTTGTGATAGAACAAAAGATTGTATAGATTGTTGATAAGAAAGAAATAACCGTATATACTCGTGTATAAGTCTACTTAATATAAAGTTCAACTGTATTCTTTTGTGAGAAACCTGATTTTTTCACAGAGCTCGTAAATAATGCGACCCGAAGAACTTGGCTTCACATGATGTTAACGTGGAACAGATTTTAGCATCACCTGAGTGAAATGATTTTATATTTCAAAGACATTTTAAAATTTGCGCGCCTAGATTGAATCAAATTTTATTAGTGGTGGGATGCTGTCAATTGAGATTAAGAGCCTTAAAATTTTAAAGATATTTGCAGGTGTATATAGAAAGTACTGGCTTATTGCCAAACATAATCTGGTGATAATTATATTAAAGCTGATAAAATCTGTATTAAAAAGAATTTTCTGTTACAAAATTTTATGAGAATATATTGCTAAAACTGTTCTATTATTAGTTATTTTTCATCATCCTTTAACAGGCTTAAATTATAATTCAATTCTTATAATAGGTACGTGTATAGAACAAATATAGTATATAGCGAGAGTTCGCTGATATTCGCGGATTTCGACATGCGATGAAGATCGAAGAATGTATAGCCGCGGATAAAAAAAAGTCTGTTTTATTTTATAAATCTTCTGCGCATGCTCGCAATGATTCATGGTGTAATTTTCCCGGTAGAAGATGACGGAAATTACTATGTCCACATTTCTCTTGTCGACAGGACATGATCTCTAAAAACAACAGCAACAACAACAGCAACAACAACAGAAACAACAACAACAACAGCAACAACAACAACAACAACAGCAACAATAATAATAATAATGATAATAATAATAATGTCAGCGGTATGTGTTTCCTAGCAACGACCAAGCTTAAAGTTCACTGAATACCCCAGCACTGTTTCCATTTTGAATTGTAGACATAAGCTTCTCTTTTTTTTTCTTTTTCCTATTACATACACACTTATAGACACACAACTACAAAACATGTGAGTATATGTATATGTGTGTGAGAAGGGGGATAAAACATTGTCACATATTCTTGCAAGTATCCGCAAATTACATAAAAATATACTACCATAAATTTAACTTATAAGCCTATCGGCAAACATATCGGTTTTCATGCGTTACATGTGGGTATTTGTGTTTTGTGTGCGTCTGTGTGCGTTTATGCATATATATATATATATATATATATATATATATATATATATATATATATATAATATATATATATATATATAAAACTTGGTCCGTATGGGTAGTCCTAAGGAGGATGAAATCTTGAGAGCTCAATGTAAATCCAGAGCTAATATTTTAAATAAAAACAGACGACTTTAAGGTTCCGTTATAATAATTTATTTCACCAGAGCCCTTTTAAAGGACTCTGGATCATCAGATAGCACTTCCAAAAGATGAAACGACACAAAATGAAATGAAAATTCATACTTTTGATGGGTAGTGTAAGTTTTTGTAGTTTAACAGGGGGGTAATGAGGGGGATGGTTTGAGAGATATGGTCGAGTTTACAGAGGGTTTATTTAATATTTCTTTCAATTGAACTGTTGTCCTCATCTTTATTGCTTTATTCACATTATACACAATAATGGCAATAAAGATGAGGACAATAGTCCGCACGATGTAAATAACGTAAAATCATGTGTTTGAAACAACGTTTCTTTTCCCCCATAATCTCCTTCATTCTCAATGCGCTCAACACAACACTTCAATAATAAACGCATTGATCAAATATTATACACTGAAATTTCAGATCAATATTTAGCTGCGTCACTTTAGAGAAATGAAAGCGCGGTTTCTACTAACTAGTTATCACCAGGCACTAAAATTGGATATTCCATCCCAAGACACTGTTATATAGCTGGATGTGATTATATTGGTATAATATTGGTACTGGTGTTTTTGGTTGGCTTCCTAAATATTTTATAACTTAAATTATATAGTTAGCTTTTTCAATAATTTAAACGTTTTTTGACAAAAGCTACATTTATATATATATATATATATATATATATATATATATATATATATATATATATATATATATATATATATATATAGTAGCAGTAATCTTATAAGTATAAGAAATTATACTCGTTCGGAAAACCTTCAGTGTTTTGATTTGCAAATAATCAAACCAATACCAAAGGGAAAAAAGGTATAAAAAAAGAAAGAACCAAGAACATGTACGTTAGCCGAAAATAATCGTCTACCATGCAAGCCCAAAGCCCAAACAAAAAACCCCCGATACGAGTACGCAAAATAATCTAAATATCTTGCTCGATACAGTAAGTAGAGCAGACCTAGTTAAACCTAGAGAGACAGACAAACCTACCAAGGTTTCACCTAAGCCTTCCCTGACGATCCGCTTAGGTGAAACATTGGTAGGTTTGTCTGGCTCTAGGTTTAACTATATATATATATATATATATATATATATATATATATATATATATATATATATATATATATATATATATCATTCGCAGACAGTACTGTCTCTCTGCATCACAGCTCGTCAGTGCGACTAAACACCCGAATGCCTCAATCCAGGATTAAAACAACCGATTTGGTGTCAGTCAGAATTTCTACCACTGAGTTATCTTCATTCGACAGAATGAAACAGCTAAATCTAGCGTATTGTTTTTAAGAATGTAAACAAATGCCAATATACATATATATATATATTAGGTTGGTGCAAAAATAATGACGTAAGAATGTCGTTTTTTGACGTTAAAAAATACGTTAAAAAACGACATTATTACGTCATTATTTTTGCACCCATAATATATATATATATATATATATATATATATATATATATATATATATATATGAGAGAGAAAGAGAGAGAGAGAAAGAAAGAAAGGGAGAGAGCTCAAAAGAAAAGTTAACAGAGTTGAAAGCTTATTAGAACATAATCAGTTCAAGATCCAATGGCTTCTCACTCCTTTGAAAGAACCCCTCCACGATTCACCATGTCTTTCGGATGGGCATTTAAGTTAGCTCCTTCATAGGGCTCTTAATCTACCCTTCATCACAATAGGTAGGGAGGAGTAGATGCGATAGTTAACAATAAACTATAGAAGAACAAAAAAAGTGAACGTTACATTTAAGCATTGCATTCATATTTAAAATTTACATTTTAAAAGTTCAAAGATAATTCTGCCGCCAAATAATTTAAAGCCAGTTTGATGTACGTAGTTCTTTACTTCCCGTACAAACAATTATTTTTATTTCATGGCTGAATTTCGCTGGATTTTGCAATTAATTTCGATTATTCCCGAATTTACATCCATGTTATAAAAATTGTTATGGTACAAAAAATCACGTAAAAGAATTTACAGAAAAAAATCGCAGAAATGAAAACATGGGAATACAAAATTTCAGATTTGCTGGTCCCTATCCGGCCCAGAATGGTTTTAATTTGGTCACGGGATCACGGCCTGATTTCAAAATGCTATGATATGTTGTGCTAGTGACATTCGCATTTATTATGTAGTATATTCTCGCCGAAATTTTCACATGCACGCACACACACTGGCACACACTGGCACACACACACACACACACACACACACACACACACACACACACACATATATATATATATATATATATATATATATATATATTGGCTTAAACGTTAAGTGAACATCGATGGAAACACATAGAGGCGACAGGCTGTTTCATGCGAGACGCAATTCTCAGGCCGCAATCGAGCATGAAAGAGCCTGTCGCCTCTTAGTGTTGACTGCAAAGTTCACTTCTATATTTACATACGCTCTATCTCTATAGCACACTTTAAGAGTATATTTCTTCATATACATATATATATATATATATATATATATATATATATATATATATATATATATATATATATATATATATGTCTGGGTTCTATAGCTTTAGATGGCAACTGATCTAGTAGAAGGACAGCTCTGAATTCAAAACCTGCGAAGGGTCGTTTGGGGACCTTGTGGCACGTAGTGCACCAGGTCTCTGTATTCGGCTCTTCAACAAGTGTGGTTGCTTCTATACAAAACCTTCATTATTATAATCAGATCACATGTGCTGTTGTTTGGCTGCCGGTTCCTAGGAACTGAGCTGCTTGACCGTCACACATCGTTTACGACGGGAGAGTCGAATATATATATATATATATATAATAAGGATAAGATAATCTGCTTCTAATAGGAATCTGCTATAGATGCACACAGAAAGATTGTTTTATGCCATATTAAATTTTAGAGCTTTATTATATTGTAAATAAAATTTCAAGTGGGGAGTGAACGACAAAGAATGCCATAGGTGTTCACATAATCAGGTTGTCGTTAACTGTCGTGTGTGAAGATGGAACCTTTAGAAAATCCAAGATGTTTAATGTGTTGCCGGTATGTGATTATCAGACACATACTAAACAAACTCAACGACCAGTTGATAAGAAAAAACAAACGAGACGCCATTTTATATTTTTAACTTTGCGCATGGACGTTGTTCGTGTTTGGATTTGTCGACTGCCCATTATAGTAGGGACTGTGAGAAAAAAATGCATAATGATGCAATTTCGCTCCACCACAAATTTGGAAACAGCATG